ATTTCAAAAAGGAAATTATTGCATTTTGAATATATTTTCCCAATATATTGACTCATAACTAAGCACCCACGTTGCAAGAAAGAAAAGAAAAAAAAAAAAAGAAAGAAAAGAAAAAGAAGAAGAATAATTCTCCATTAGATACGATGTGTTACTTCCTGCCTACATTTGGCACCATTGAAAAAGTTTGCCCTTTAAATAATTTCACATTCGTTGGTTCATAAGAGGATAGAGAAACAAAAAAGCAAAACCATATTACTCTAAATATATAATATTAATTTTTAAATGAGATAGTTGGACGTAATATTATGATAGACTCTGTATTTGAACTCCAATACCATCAATTCGTAACATTTTTTTCCCATTGGCCTCTCTAATGAAAATAGTGACTATTGATTCATTACGTCTTTCAATATCTTAATTAATATTTTTAGATAAGTTGATTCGACACGTCTACCATCTTGATCGCCCTTCATAATGGCAAGAGTGACATATCACACCTTAGCATTGTCAATTCACAAATATGGGCAAAAAGAATCAATTGAAAAAATCATTATTTCCATTGTCATCATTATTTTTTTCATCCAAATTGAAGACCTTCCAATACAAAAAAATAAATAGTAACCAATGTCTTTTTATCTTTAACTTACTCCACAAACAAATTGCCAAATCCATTCATTACAAATAATGATTTCAAGTCAATAGTTAATCAATGGTCACTTTCTTTTTAAGTCTATAATGTATTCTTACTTAACTTAACTTTCCCTTTTAGAAGATAAGCAAATTATTTAACCATCTTTTGCATAAAAGTGAAAGGGCACAAATGACTCTTTCAACTTTAAATTATTGCTTATTCACTATGAGGGAGCAGAAAAGCTCTTTTTTTGCTTTATGGTCATGTATTATTATTATTATTATTATTATTTTGAAATCAAATTTAAAGTTTATGAAAAAAAAACTAATCAATTTATAAAAAAAAAAAGTTGTGTGGACTCGATAATCCTCTTTTACACTTCGAGAAGCATCAGAATCTCAAATTGTCTAGATCAACATCGGAATCTCTTAGTTCCATTTCACCAAGTGGAAGTGCTAGCGAATTGGGTGCACCAAGAGAAGCAAAATGTATCCATCAATATTGGGATATTAGAGATGCGTGATCAACCTATTTGTAGAAAAAATAATCAATTATGCCTTTTTGGATAAACTACGGAAAAATGTTAATTTCGATAAATAGAATTAATGTGTGACCTGTCGGGTGGGGAAAAATTCGACGCTAAGAACTTGTTTGAAATAACTTAAAAAGTTAAAATAAAAAAAATTAACAATTAATTTTACCCACGTCTAATAGAATTCACAAATCACAATTCTTATCAAACGCTCTAAAACGTATATGGTCCAGATTGAGTGGGGGCCCAATAGAAAACTAAATATCAGATAGTGACTCAGTCAATTATTTCTGTGTGGTGGTGCCCCATTAAATTCTGAGTTTGGATTACGTACAGGGGCCCACTTCTAATGCTATTGCGTTCAATTTGGGTTGGTGGGTTTGTTGGACAAATCACGGGTCAATTTCAAATTAGCAACTAACCCAATTTGATTTTGCTAACTCTTAATGCAAACCTACACTCTAGTCGTGGGCCTTTTCATTTAAAACGATAATTTTTATTAAATTACTCGTCAAGTGCATTTGATTTGATTTATGTGGCAACTATCTATTGTCAATATTTTCTTTTAACGAAAAATACAAAGATTTTAATTCCGCATTTGACGTTATCAATCGTTGCTTCTTCTTTCAAGTATAGTGATATTTAGGATCGATGGATGCCCGTTTGCACAATCTCAGTCCCTCTTTGTTTGTTTAGATAAAAATAAGATATTTAGTAGATTTGTATAAAATATATGATTGAAAAGTTGATAAAAATTTTGGATCCTTTAGAATTAAATGTGTGTTTGATTGCATTTAGTTTTCATGAAAAATGTCAGTTTCCATCCAAATTCCTACTTTGGAATGTTCGATTGCTATTTTTTTCCATTGAAAATGTTTTCCAACTTTTAAAAATATTTCACTTGTTTTTAAGGGAAACATTCTCTTTGGAAGGAATATGTTTTTGTTTTCCTTAAAATAAGGAAAATATTTTCTTTTTTTTATGAGATATTTTCATGCCAGTCAGACCACTCTAATTGTTCGGTTTACTTAAATTTTTAGTTAAATCAAATATGACTCAATTCGAATATAGTGCTAATTGCATATTTAAGGTAGTATTATCAACCACTTGCAACGAGAGTTAGAAGCAAGACAAAATGTCAAAAAAATTAAAGATGCAACTCCCTTATTCAGTGACACATTCATTTTCCTGTCATATTTCCATAATTAATTGATGATGGACCACGTACTACTTCCATGAAATTCAATTCCTGAAAATAAATATCTGTTTCGAGTTTCACCATTGATTAATTAACACCCTTTTCTCCATAAATACTGACCAAATAGTGTCATAGAACAATAAATTCACGTGACCGTAAAATTTGGTCTTAGATCCATTCAATTTCGAAAATGTCAGCCTATCAACGAAGTTTGTTAGTCATTACATTAAAACACCCCCCATCTCTTCCACCCAATTCCCTCGTCGTCTGTCGGCAATAGATTAACGACTTTCAATTGGGTATCATCGCCCGTGTATATGTGAAAAATGCAAAGATGAAAGTCTCGTACTTGTTTGTCGAACTTTATACATTCAAGAAATGTATAGTTAAAAAATTATAAAAGTTGTGAACCCATAAAATGTGTGCTTAAAAATATAATTTGACAAATATTTATAATCTTTAATTTAAGCTAATTAATCATCTAGATTTACCAAGCCCATGTTCGATAGTCATTATTGAGAAAAAAAACATGTTTTGAATAATAGTAGTTGCTTTTTGGAGAATGTGTGGTTAAAAAGTAGGAATAAATTATATGTACAGAAAAAAAATTTCACAGATGTTTTACACTCACTTATATGGGTGGGCAAAACCCGACCGAAATCGTCCAAACAAAACCAATAGGACCGGGTTGGGTCGATTTTTTTGAAATCGAATAAACCCGCCCAACCCAACCCGCCACTTTGAAAAAATAAAAATAAAAGAAATAAAATGCCTAAAAAAGTAAAAGAAACCTAAAAAGTATGAGTTTATAGTGTAACTGTAATTACCTTGGTATATTTTAGAGGAGGGGTTTAATATTCTTCCCACAAAAAAATGTAGTATAGGTTTTTCACGTTATGTTAAATACACTTTATTCTTTGTAAGCTCGACTAATGAGGATTGAATAAGATAATAGATAATTTTATTTATTTATTTATTTACTATTTAATCTACCGACCGAAATCGTCCAAACAGAACCAACAGGATCGGGTTGGGTCGATTTTTTTGAAATCGAATAAACCCGTCCAACCCAACCCGTCACTTTGAAAAAATAAAAATAAAAGAAATAAAATGCCTAAAAAAGTAAAAGAAACCTAAAAAGTATGAGTTTATAGTGTAACTGTAATTAACTTGGTATATTTTAGAGGAGGGGTTTAATATTCTTCCCACAAAAAAATGTAGTATAAGTTTTTCACGTTATGTTAAATACACTTTATTCTTTGTAAGCTCGACTAATGAGGATTGAATAAGATAATAGATAATTTTATTTATTTATTTATTTACTATTTAATCTTATCTATTCGAATTTAGTATAATAGAAAATTGAATAACTTTAATTTTTGTTGACAAGTTATCCCAAACCGACCAACCCAACCGATACTTGATTGTGTTGGGTTGGGTTTCAACATTTAGAGTGTGTTTGAGAGAAATTTTTGTGAGATTTTAATCAAAATTATAGCCATTAAAGTCAACCCGTNGCGTGTTTGGGAGAAATTTTTGTGGGATTTTAATCAATATTATAGCCGTTAAAGTCAACTCGTGTGATCCACCTGTGAGAGGGAAGGTCAAAAATAGTGGCCGATTTGATAGTTAACGGCTAAATTTTTTATTAAAATCTTGATTAAAATTTCTCCCAAACAAGGCCTTACACGGGTTGCGTTTGATTAAATTTTGATCAAACCGATTATATACGGTTGAGTTTGGGTTGAGGGAAAAACCAATCCAACCCATGCCCACCACTACTCACTCACATGCGTGGGCCCACTGGAAATAAAAAATGAAAAAAACCAACCCCTCCCCTTCTGTAAGTATAGCATTGTTCTAAAAAGTAGGGAAAATTTTTTGATTTACGTGCAAAATATTTAATTTTGTGAATATAGTTGAAAATGAGTATGAGAATTGAAGAATTTTATTTTAATGAGAGACTAAGCCTACATTTGACAAATTTATTAATTGGTCAAACTTAATTTTCACTTATTCAACAATCATTTCTATATTATCTATATATAATTAAACAATTTGTAAATTCTTCCCAACGAAATATCTAGACAATAATCAAATCAACAGTGTTATATGTACGTCATAATTTACAAATTTATTTATCAAAAGATTACGTTGCGAGAATGATGGAGTCAAAATAACACCGACCAAATTAAAAAAAATAAAAATGTCTAATTTCTTTTTGACATTAAACCACGTTACATAAGCACAACAGTTAAGCAGTGAAGAGATTTTAATAATTCTGATCAATCGATAAATGATTACGTCATTTTCCTATTCAAAATGAGCCCGAAATTTCCTAGTCCAAACTGTCTCAAAGACTTTGGACTGTCCCTTCGAGGTAATTTTTCTTCATTATTTTTCTGTGTCCACCGTGCACGTCGGTGCACTATACATTTTCCACCATGCACGAGGTACGTACTTCTCATTGTCGTCTACCTTCCGTGCTACAACAGCGACATTTGCGCTACTACTGCGTGACTTTCCATTCAGTAGTTGACTACACATTCATTTCGTGACCAGATAAAGATAACCAGGAGGGAAAAAATTGTACCATTTGCGACGAATTTGTAATTCTGAATTTTTTTATTTTTATTTTTTCAAAAACGATCGTCAAACAGATTAACATGAACAGTAGCGGTTTTGAAAGAGTTACAGATGGGGCAAGTATGGAGAGATGATTCGCAATTAGTACAGAGGCAGAGATGCCTGCACGGCAAAAGCAATACGGACGATTCCTGTTCCTTACAGCTCCTGCACATTCTCTTCCCGATGATTGGATCGAAGTTGCTGCCGCAGCACGATTGAGATTCGTTGTCTGAGGCAACCGCCGCCTCTTCGTTCCGCCACCGTGGCTGGCGGTGGTGATCTTCCTGGACCTGGTTGAGGATTTGTTCGAGATTGCATCTCAAGGTGTTGGCCGTGGCTTCGCTTGTCTGTGCCAAATCTCTCCATATTTGGTTCTCCACGAATAGCGATTTCACTCTTTCTTCCAGTGCCAAATTTAATTTCCCAATCTTCTCAATTTCTTCTTCTTTCCCTTTCAGTTTCTTCATTGATTCTTCCTCAACTGCCTTTACTATTCTCAGAGAATGTCCCTTTCTTCTCTCTTCAATTCCAACCCTCACTATCTCCGTCTGTTATTCAAATCACCGAACAAAAATTAATCCATTATAGATAAATTCAAAAAAGGTTAAATATAAGAAATAAAGCAACGAAATTAAAATCTTACGTGTTGAGAGATTAATCGATCGATTTCCAATGACTGTTGTTGGATCTGAAAGGAAATATCTTCACCGAGAAAAGTGCAAGAAGCGCAACTGCCGTTTTGTTTTTGATTTTGATTCTGATTCTGAACAACAATAGGGAATGGTGAAAGCAAATCGTCTCTCGAACGCTTTCTTGAAACCGGAATAGATTCGTTGATCACGGATTGGTACACCGGAACAACAGTCTCCGTGGCCATTACAGTCCCCAATAAAGGCGCCATTATACCGTAACCTATCGGAATACTGCACATATTTCCATTGCTTCCTAATCCATTCATGGTTATTTCTCTGCATTCAATCGAAAATATCTATATGAGATAAAAATACAAAAAAGGAATTCTAAAGAAGAAAAAGTATCTATGATCTACCTATTCTCGAGAATCTGTGGAGGGAAGAGATTGATTTTTCGTGCTTCAACAGCCATTAATATCCGTAATTTCTTGTTTTTCTTTTTCCTTTGATCACTGCCTATGGACGTATACCAATTTCTGCGTGTGTTATATAGAAGAGTTGTACACAAATAATCTCTGTATTGTTTTCAGATTTTGATTTCTGGATGGTAGATGTTGAGAGGAGAGTGCGAGGCGGAGAAGGAATGAAATGAAGAAAATGCAAGTCCGAATATGAAGGGGTTTATTCAGGGTTTGGTTGAGGAGGGAGAAAAAAAGGAGTCTGTTCTAGGGTATTTAATGGGAAATACTATTAATAACTTAAAAGTTACTTCTATTACTCGATCAAGGTCAGGCTTTAATTTTATCCATGCATTCAAAATATTTTTCATTATTACCATATAATTCATAATCTTACAACTATTCATACGAAAAAGTTACTAATGATCAAACCCGACCACATGCTTAAAGGGCCGTTCGGAGTATTGAATCATTATCCCTGAACATTTCATCACGATAGTAAATTGATCCTTAGAAAAAAGGACCGAGTTGGCACCCAACCTTTAACTGTATTTACACGATTGTCTCAGTCTCACATTTCAATTTTATTAGATTGGGTTTTATTTCGATGGTTGGTTTTTACTAAATTGAAACGATTCATATTTCTATGAATTGCACAATGTAATTTGGTGTAAGTTCGTATCAGATTCTTAATAGTTGTGTTCCATATACATCACAATTCACACATTTATTTATCAACAGATGACGTAACGAGATTTGATTGAGTCAAAATCTCACTAACCAAAGAAAAAAAATCCCCAATTTCTTTTTGCCCTTATGCAATAATTAAAAAACAACTGTTTAAGTGATGAAGAGATTTTGATAGGTTTATTTCATTTTATCACCACTGACACCACCCCCACTAATTTGTAAATGGTGATGTACAACAAGTATTTTTCATTTATTTATTAATGAGGATTGATCGTGCAACTCTAGTAAAAAATTGAGGGCAAACTCAATCTTGGAAATGTCGAAGACTAACATGCTATTAGAGTAATAGGTTGGGAACCTAAAGAGTAGTTTTTCCTACATTTGTATATATTGAATGGAGATCCTAATTATTCTTGCACGATTGAACGGAGATCTAGTCAGTCCGTAATTGGTGCGAATTGCAGGGTGTAATCCGTAATTTAAGGACTTTTAATATTTTCATTTTGAGTAATGATATTTAGAGTTACAACTCCAATTTAGGTGATGTACATGTGACATTAAATCATTTTTGACACCCATTTTTTCTCATTCTCAATTTCTCATTCTCATTTTTTTCTCTTTCTTCATTTCAACCACACATTCTATCAATAAAATAATAATACACATAAACCCAAAAATTCTTATTACTTTTTAACCACACATTCTTCCATCAATCACTATTCTAGAATTTATTTTTTGTCAAAAATGGATGTCAAACGGGGGCTAAATAATAGATGAGGTTAAATAAGTCATTTAATTCCACATTCACTTAGCCTATCATCCAGCGCCACCTATAATGGAGTTACAATACCAGTGAAGCGTAATATTATCCTTTAAATTTTCGGAGAATATCAGGGTTACTCTTTAAGATAATATATTCTCACTACAATTTGTTTTTATTGCATTGCTTTTTAATGCACTAAAAGGTTCTTAGAGTGTGTTTGGTGGAAATTAAAATTAGATTTTTAGTAGATTGTGATATAAATTTTTGAAATGTATGATTGAAAAGTTGTGGGACCCATGAAAGATGTGGTTAATATTGATTGTTTGACTTTGACTTGGATTAAAATCAAATTTTAATCTGGATCAAACAGAGGCTTAGTATTTTTTTTATTGTCACATATTTTGAAATGATGGAGAAATATTATGTGTCACTTTTGTTATTTTCTTTGTTTATTTAGTATGAGAGGCACATAAAACTGTTATTTAAGAGTATGAGCGGCTCAACTCGATCCATTATCGACCCTAGCAAATTGTCAAGATGCACTAATTAATGAAAGATTGAGAATAAAAATATGACTAAAAATAGTTGAAGACGTAAGAGAGATACTGGATCTTATGATGGCCCTGAAGCAGTACAATTATAAAAACGATTTGAGTAATACAAATTAAAAAAAGTAATGCAGAAAATAATTTTCGTCGAGTCGTGAGCCGTCGAGGTTCTTAATTTGAAGACTAAAAAGTTAATAACCATATAAATCAAAGTTAACAATTAATTTTAATCAAATTAAATCCTCTTAATTTTTGTAAAAATTAACCTCCAAGAATGACTTATTTTATTGAAATTTTGTCGATTTATCAAATACGATTTATTATTTTTGCTGATGCACACTGGTTTCTACTTTCTCTTTCTCGAATGATTCCACCAAAAGAAGTCAAAGCAAAGCATGTAGACAACATGATCTCGTGTCTAAGTTTATTAATTATCCCACTAACTACTAAAATCAATCTAATCAGCTTATTTGCTCTGTCAAAATCACTTTTTTTAATACAGTCTTCGGACAAAATAGCTGCAAATTTTGAAGAGACCAATTAAGCCTATCAAACAGGCCCTTAGAGTAATAGGTTGGGGACCTAAAGAGTAGTTTTTCCTACATTTGTACATATTGAATGGAGATCCTAATTATTCTTGCACGATTGAACGGAGATCTAGTCAGTCCGTAATTGGTGCGAATTGCAGGGTGTAATCCGTAATTTAAGGACTTTAATATTTTCATTTTGAGTAATGATATTTAGAGTTACAACTCTAATTTTTGTGATGTTCATGTGACATTAAATAATAGATGAGATTAAATAAATCATTTAATTCCACCTTCATTTATTCTATCATCCAGCGCCACCTAAAATGGAGTTACAATACTAGTGAAGCTACGTAATATTATCCTTTAAATTTTCGGAGAATATCAGGGTTACTCTTTAAGACAAGATATTCTCACTACAGTTTCTTTTTATTGCATCGCTTTTTAATGCACTAAAAGGTTCTTAGAGTGTGTTTGGTGGAAATTAAAATTAGATTTTTAGTAGATTGTGATATAAATTTTTGAAATGTGTGGTTGAAAAGTTGTGGGACCCATGAAAGATGTGGTTAATATTGATTGTTTGACTTTGACTTAGATTAAAATCTGATTTTAATCGGAAACAAATAAGGTCTATTTACTTTATTTCACGTAACACAATTAAAGCAGTGATGTATTTTGTAATTTTTCTAAGAAGTGTATAGGGTTTAAAAACTATATACAGAAGATGGAAATTAATGGGTGGTAAATTTTAAGTAGATTGTGATATAAATTTTTGAAATGTGTGGTTGAAAAGTTGTGGGACCCATAAAAGATGTGATTAATATTGATTGTTTGATTTTGACTTTGATTAAATTCAAATTTTAATCTGGACCAAACAGAGGCTTAGTATTTTTTTTTTGTCACATGTTTTGAAATGATGGACAAATATTATGTCTCACTTTTGTTATTTTCTTTGTTTATTTAGTATGAGAGGCACATAAGATTTTTATTTAAGAGTGTGAGCGGCTCGACTCGATCCATTATCAACCCTAGCAAATTGCCAAGATGCACTAATTAGTGAAAGATTGAGAATAAAAATATGATGAAAAATAGTTGAAGACGTAAGAGAGTGATACTAGATCTTATGATGGCCATGAAGCAGTACAATCATAAAAACGATTTGAGTAATACAAATTAAAAAAAGTAATGCAGAAAATAATTTTCGTCGAGTCGTGAGCCTTCGAGGTTCTTAATTTGAAGACTAAAAAGTTAATAACCATATAAATCAAAGTTAACAATTAATTTTAATCAAATTAAATCCTCCTAATTTTTGTAAAAATTAACCTCCAAGAATGAAATTTTGTCGATTTATCAAATACGATTTATTATTTTTGCTGATGCACACTGGTTTCTCTTTCTCTTTCTCGAATGATTCCACCAAAAGAAGTCAAAGCAAAGCATGTAGACAACATGATCTCGTGTCTAAGTTTATTAATTATCCCACTGACTACTAAAATCAATCTAATCAGCTTATTTGCTCTGTCAAAATCACTTTTTTTAATACAGTCTTCGGACAAAATAGCTGCAAATTTTGAAGAGACCAATTGGAATAGGACTGTCATAGTATCCAAAAACAAATCAATTCGGACATGGCTTCTCATTATTAATCAACTTGTCATAAATTTCTAGTAATTAAATGTTAATTAATCCTTAAAATTGTAACCCCACATGGGTATGCTATCAAATGTCTACTAAAAATTGTTAATTTGGGGGGGATATATAATGGAAGCGTGTTTGGCATGGAAAATGAGAGGAAATGATGGAGAATTTTTTTTTTTTTTTTTTTCAACTCATCAAAAACTTCCTAATAAAATTTTAATATACTTGAAAAATGGATCACGTAGTGGTCACACTCAAAGAAACCATTCCATCAAATCTTGAATTGCATTTTTTTTTTTGTTTGGGTTAAGATAGATTTGGATGACTTGTGCTCTCTGGATGATTTGGAGATTTGGATCGGCGATGTCGAAGAACATTATACCTTTGAGGTCAATCGTGCAATTATTATGATGGAAAATATTAGAAAATGATTTACAAGTCTTTAACACGTGGGGGCTCTTTTACTACTAGAATAATAGATTAATAACTGATGAACCATTTTTCTTCAATCTAATGAGTCGAGTTGAAATATTCGGTAGAATATGATGCCCCTATTTATTACAGATTCTTTTAATTTCAAACTCGTTTTCAATTACACTTTTTCAATAAAATAATTTTACACATGATTAATAACTTTTCCTTGACTTTTTAACTACACACTTTCAAAAATATCACTTTTCACAAAATATTTTCTGAGAAATGCATCAAAAATTGAAAGAAGTTAATTGTTGGCATGTTAATTGGGCATTCACTATTTCTTGTAGAGTAATGCTATCTAACATTACTGACGTGAGAAGTACAATTATATGACTCATTTAATCGCACATCTCATTGAGCTCATCATATCACGTCATGTAAGCAGATGTTACAGCACCACTGGTGCTAAATGACATCATTCTTTCTTGTATTAAAAAATAAATGGCATAAGCCTCGTAGGTTTGCCTTACATTTCTGGTTTGGAGAAAATGAGTACCCGCAGCTGCATTCACGGACTTAAATTAATGGGCCCAAACCTCCCCACCAATACAACTCGTCGCAAGTTTCATGTGTAGTTACCTAGTCAAATTGTACTTTCATTTTTCAGGAAAAAGAAATTGTTGTTAGTTAGTTCAATTATTTTTAATTTAACTTGTTCTCATCTTCAAAATTTTTAAAGAGTTGTCCATGATAGACATATGCATAGACGTTTTTAAATCCGACATTCACATATCTCGTTTTTGGAAAGGGTGTATCACTTTCATGAGTTGCATTTTCCTATGATATCTTGAAAACGAAATTCTACTACTCGACTCCAATCTTCATTCTCTCATATAGATCTATATGATGCAGCACAACATTTACCCCCTACATTTGGCTCATCTTTGAAATAAATACTTGCTCCAATTTTTATCTAAATATTACCCACTTATTCATTTATCATTTCTATCTATTTATTTAAACCATTTAAAAACAATTCCCAAACATACTTGATCCTATGCCTAGGATGGACGGTTTACGATGGATGGATGGATAGAGAGGGATTGATTCGTCGAGTTGGGTGTATAGACTTGAGTGGTTGAAGATAACTCTTGCCACAAAAACTTGTTACAACGTTCACTTCCTTTTCTTCTAAGTCGAAGAAAAGAGAATATACTTAACATGGGCAAAGAAGGCCCATTTGTAAACGAGCTTCGCACAAGTTAGCCCAACAACAATATGCTTGTAAGTCCAATTCCTTATCTAGTTCATGTTTGGGCAAATTATAAGTTAGTTATAATTCAAGGATCAAAGTCGACTCACAGCTACTACCACAACTCATTTCTATCACATTATAATTTCATCAACTTTTAATTTTATTCAAACAAGATATTTGCGTAGGCAAACGCCATTCTTATATAGCTATAAAATCGGTGGAGGTTTGTGTTTATTCTGTGTAAAGTAAATCATGGAGTCCCATCTTAACAAGTAAAACATGAAAAGAGCTGAATAATATTGTAGAAAATGACGAGAGCAAAACCATTAGTTACCTGCAATTGTTACTCATCTCTATAAGTTCGTATTTAAGTCGCTCCTTCCTGAGGCAACACAAAGACAAAGGCCATCTGCAGCAACATAAGTTGGCTGCTACGACAAGCTAGTTTTCGAGGCTAAAATGACTTCAAAGAAGTGATGCTATCAAATATAGACAGCATACAGACAGACAAAGTTTAAGAACATAGTGCCTACAACTTAGAGGGTTACAATTGAGAGCATCTCAGAGGAAGCTGAACAAACAAACTATATGAGTGCATGGTACCATGAGATGAGAGAGACAGCAATGCGAACGGAAACCATAAGACAATGCACACGTCAATGTCTCCAAATGATAAAGAGAAAGTTGTGACTCGCCACTTGGCCAAGTTAGAAGTACATTGCATGCACTATCCACAGTTTAAAAAACTAGTGTTCACCAGGAGAACATAATTGTCAAGCTTCTTCAGAGAACCAGTATACTTGCACACACCAAAAATCTAGAGAGGCAACAAAATCCCATTGAAGCGTATCATTGGAAACTGGAAATAGAATCTCCCTCAAAATATTTTCTTTCAATCTCAATGTTTATTCAAAGAGGAGCAAAACTCCAACCAGATATATCATAGATTTGAAGGCTTCTTCAATTACTTTCATATATCTAGACCTAAGAAAAATATATCCCACATAGGAAAAGAATGAAGTAGACTTTCAGTTTGAGTTCAAGCAAACACAACATGAAAACCATCAAATGTAACAAGACAGAAAGGAACTTGATGCACCCATCTGACCAAAAACCTGTTCACCAAATGCTGATTGCCAAGCAAAAAGCAATAAATGAAAGAAGACATCAATAGAAATATGACTAAAAACACAGCATCCATTCATAGAACAATCCTTAGTAGTGCAAAATGGATAAAATAGGTTTTAACACAAGTCTTTCATTGGAATGACAAAATAGAAGTAGCAGAAGCTAGTCATAACTGTAGAGCCTAAATTTTCTCAAAACTCATAGAAAACAAGACGCTTGAGGATGTGATAGGAACAGAATAGACAACAAGAAAGCTCCTCTGCAGAACTTCATTCAGTTCATCATGATTGCCAGGCAGCAAGACAAGAAGAAGCTGGTTCTGAAAAAAGAACGATCTCACCATCGATTTCCATCCTCTACTTGGATCTTTGTCTCATCTTTCGACGCTTCCTCTTCAACCTTCTCATACGCTTCTTCTTCCACTGTAAAATGCATTAAAATGGAACTTAGCATCTCAAAACTCTAAAGCCAAAAATTATATAATTCCCATTATCAACATCAGTTATCTTTCCACAAAATTTACTACTTTTCAAGCAAAATTAGTGAACATGTAGGATTTGTTAGTTTCTCATCCATTGTAAAATGCATAAGATATCCTTAAAAGCTAAATCTAAGAAATATATATTGTACATTACCATCACATAATATCTTTCCAAAAAATTTACTTCTTCTAAAGACATTTATTTTCACTTTCCAATTCAACAGTCAACATTCCACCTTTCTTATTGTTTTTTTGGTAAATACATCCTATCCAAAATTCAAAAGTAACACTGCTGAATTAGATTGTAGAGCATGTTATGTACAATTAAAAGGGTAACAAACCAGCAAAAGGCCGTTTAATAATTGAATCAGAACATGCTTTCCACAGATTAAGAAATGACTCGATTTGAATGTTCATACTCGCATTACAAGATAAGAAGTAGAATCACTAAATCCAGACCAATAACCAGTATTTAGCATGGGGACTCCTGTAACCGGCTATGGCAGAACTACAACGAGAATAAATTCAAGACAATCTAATTAAATAATAGCAACACAGAAACAAAAATATCACAAAAAAGAGATAATTAACAACGGAAACATATGATCATGTAGGCCTACATAAAGCAAAGCAAACTTGCAAAAAGCCAAAAACTATAACGGATATCGATTAATAAGATCGCTAACGAGTAATTACTCTAATAAAATATATCACGGAAAATACCCAAAGCAGCAAAAATTAGAAAGTATTCAAACAATTAACCCCGGAAATTATGATCATGTAGACTTACGTAAATCAACACAAACTTGCAAAACAATCACGAAAAAACAATTTAAGGGTATCACAAACAAGATTTTACTTAAATATTACAATTCAGATGCAAAATTAAGAAAAAATGACTAAAAGATTAGCAAGGGGTACCAACCTTAGCCCTCATGTTGGCCTAGGGTTTTTCACAAACTTTCTCTCTATCGTAGTCCGCCGAATTTGTCCAGATGGAACCGTCGAATGCGATCGTGAAGAAGGATGTCGATCCTTTCGATATTTATAGGAGGTCTAGAAAAACCCTAATCCGTCTTTCAGATTCGTCGTCGAGTGAAGCGGGGTATTCTTGTCATTCCGTTAATGCCGACTCTTTGTTTTTCAATTTCATTTTCCTATTTTATATTTTTAGTTTTTAACGTAGCAATTGTCTTTAATTCCTTTTTAATGAATTCCTGTCCATTAATATATATTAATTGAGTTAATTTCACAAACGGTCACTGAAGTTACGTCAAAATCACAAAACGGTCACTGAAGTTTAAAACTTCCATTAACGGTCACTGAAGTATCATCAAATTTCAGTAATGGTCACTGAAGGGCCTTTTCATTTTAGTTGGAACTTCTTGGACCAAAATAATTGAAGCTTGAACTTTGAGGACCTAAATCGCAAAATTGACATTAAACCCCCAAAACCATAATCTTTCCCATTCTCTGTAAGTTAATTATTTCCTTTTGGATTTGCAGATTTTGCTTTTGGCGTGATTAAGGTACTTCATAACTTTCGACCCTTCTATCTTTTCATAGAATTCGAGTGATTCGGCTCTTATTGTAATTTGATTATTAATGCTTAATATGGGTTCGAATTCGGAGACCCTTGTTGAATCCTTTTGGTGAATTATTCAGTTTTTTTTAATAATTAAAACGAATACAGTTCAATCTCGTTTGGATTTCTTCCAACGGATTCGACATTTATATGCTTCGAGCAATGTGATTGATGAAAGTCTTAAGAAATAATGCTTATATCTTCGTAAGAGGAGTTTATTGCTTTTGAGGAGAAATGTTCAAGACTTAAATTTTTGCTTGCAGATTTAAATTTGTAGTAGGAGATTTAAATTTTTGATGTGGTCACCTCTTTTGCTGGCCTTGCCTTTACAAATGGCCTCATATCCACTCTCAGTCCCAAGAATGCCCAGTTTGTAAGGCACTCATTGAGGAGGAGAAGCTAGTCCCTTTATACGGCCGAGGAAAGAACTCCTCTGACCTTCGCTCTGAGTCATATCCTGGAATAGATATTCCACATGACAGCTCCTTCGCCAGATCCAAATGCTATTGCTTTGGCACAGCAAGGATTTGGAGTTATGGGAAGGTTTGGGCACCTCAGGGGGTTTGCGGTATCTATGGCTTCTGCAAGGTTCGGGAACTTCACATTATCTGCATCACTAGCGGGTTCTCTCGTTTTTCAACATTCAAGTGCATGATTTCTCACAAGGGAATATGTATGGACTCGGCCATGGTTATCCTCATGGGCATTTTAATATGTTCTATGGTGGACATGCTCATGGATTCCATCGGCCTAGAAATCAACAGCAGCGAGCAGATTTTACGATGTTTCACTCCAGAAATGGTTTTTGGGGGGTTTGTTGTCAAATTTGCGATTTAGGTCCTCAAGGTTCAAGTTTTAACTATTTTGGTCCATGAAGTTTCAATTAAAATGAAAAGGTCCTTCAGTGACCATTACTAAAACTGAATGATACTTCAGTGACCGTTAGTGCAAGTTTTAAACTTCAGCGACCGTTTGTGAAATTAATGACGTAACTTCAGTGACCGTTTGTGAAATTATCCCATTAAATATCGCATGACAACAAAATGGCAAAATTGTAATTTGACTACGTTTATATTGAGATAATTTCACAAGGGTCTATGAGTATATTTCATAGATGGTGGTTATAATTAATAAAAAATTACCCAGTTAATTTCTACTCCGATCTCCATTTTCCAGGCAAGAAAAATTCCTCATCTTCTGATTCAATTTTAACAACAAATTATGTCGAACGAAACCCTAGATGACCGTCCTCAAGATTCCGTCTCCGACGAGGAACCGAGCGTTGTTGTTAGTGGTGAGGATAGCAATAGTAATAGTATTCTCGACCTCGACGCTTCGCTACGCATAACGCATTTTAGAACACTGAAGATAACTCTTCCCACAAAAACTTGTTACAACGTTCACTTCCTTTTCTTCTAAGTTGAAGAAAAGAGAATATACTTAACATGGGCAAAGAAGGCCCATTTGTAAACGAGCTTCGCACAAGTTAGCCCAACAACAATATGCTTGTAAGTCCAATTCCTTATCTAGTTCATGTTTGGGCAAATTATAAGTTGGTTATAATTCAAGGATCAAAGTCGACTCACAGCTACTACCACAACTCATTTCTACCACAATATAATTTCATCAACTTTTAATTTTATTCAAACAAGATAAATGCATAGGCAAACGCCATTCGCCCATTCTTATATAGCTATAAAATCGGTGGAGGTTTGTGTTTATTCTGTGTAAAGTAAATCATGGAGTCCCATCTTAACAAGGAAAACATGAAAAGAGCTGAATAATATTGTAGAAAATGACGAGAGCAAAACCATTAGTTACCTGCAATTGTTACTCATCTCTACAAGTTCGTATTTAAGTCGCTCCTTCCTGAGGCAACACAAAGACAAAGGCCATTTTTCGAGGCTAAAATGACTTCAAAGAAGTGATGCTATCAAATATAGACAGCATAAAGACAAAGTTGAAGAACATAGTGCATACAACTTAGAGGGTTACAATTGAGAGCATCTCAGAGGAAGCTGAACAAACAAACTATATGAGCGCATGGTACCATGAGATGAGAGAGACAGCAATGCGAACAGAAACCATAAGACAATGCACGAGTCAACGTCTCCAAATGATAAAGAGAAAGTTGCGACTCACCACTTGGCCAAGTTAAAAGTACATTGCATGCACTATCCAGTTAAAAAAAATTAGTGTTCACCAGGAGAACATAACCGTCAAGCTTCTTCAGAGAACCAGTATACTTGCACACACCAAAAATCTAGTGAGGCAACAAAATCCCATTGAAGCGTATCATTGCAAACTGGAAATAGAATCTCCCTCAAAATATTTTCTTTCAATCTCAATGTTTATTCAAAGAGGAGCAAAACTCCAACCAGATATATCATAGATTTGAAAGCTTCTTCAATTACTTTCATATATCTAGACCTAAGAAAAATATATCCCGCATAGGAAAAGAATGAAGTAGACTTTCAGTTTGAGTTCAAGCAAACACAACATGAAAACCATCAAATGTAACAAGACAGAAAGGAACTTGATGCACCCATCTAACCAAAAACCTGTTCACCAAATGCTGATTGCCAAGCAAAAAGCAATAAATGAAAGAAGACGTCAATAGAATTATGACTAAAAACACAGCATCCATTCATAGAACAATCCTTAGTAGTGCAAAATGGATAAAATAGGTTTTAACACACGTCTTTCATTGGAATGACAAAATAGAAGTAGCAGAAGCTAGTCATAACTGTAGAGCCTAAATTTTCAAAACTCGTAGAAAACAAGACGCTTGAGTATGTGATAGGAACAGAATAGACAACAAGAAAGCTCCTCTGCAGAACTTCATTCAGTTCATCATGATTGCCAGGCAGCCAGACAAGAAGAAGCTGGTTCTGAAAAAAGAACGATCTCACCATCGATTTCCATCCTCTACTTGGATCTTTGTCTCATCTTTCGACGCTTCCTCTTCAACCTTCTCATACGCTTCTTCTTCCACTGTAAAATGCATTAAAATGGAACTTAGCATCTCAAAACTCTAAACCCAAAAATTATATAATTCCCATTATCAACATCAGTTATCTTTCCACAAAATTTACTACTTTTCAAGCAAAATTAGTGAACATGTAGGATTTGTTAGTTTCTCATCCATTGTAAAATGCATAAATTGGAACCAGATATCCCTAAAAGCTAAATCTAAGAAATATATATTGTACATTACCATCACATAATATCTTTCCCAAAAATTTACTTTTTCTAAAGACATTTATTTTCACTTTCCAATTCAACAGTCAACTTATTCCACCTTTGTTATTGTTTTTTTGGTAAATACATCCTATCCAAAATTCAAAAGTAACACTGCTGAATTAGATTGTAGAGCATGTTATGTACAATTAAAAGGGTAACAAACCAGCAAAAGGCCGTTTAATAATTGAATCAGAACATGCTTTCCACAGATTAAGAAATGACTCGATTTGAATGTTCATACTCGCATTACAAGATAAGAAGTAGAATCACTAAATCCAGACCAATGACCAGTATTTAACATGGGGACTCCTGTAACCGGCTATGGCAGAACTACAACGAGAATAAATTCAAGACAATCTAATTAAATAATAGCAAAACAGAAACAAAAATATCACAAAAAAGAGATAATTAACAACGGAAACATATGATCATGTAGGCCTACATAAAGCAAAGCAAACTTGCAAAAAGCCAAAAACTATAACGCATATCGATTAATAAGATCGCTAACGAGTAATTACTCTAATAAAATATATCACGGAAAATACCCACAGCAGCAAAAATTAGAAAGTATTCAAACAATTAACCCCGGAAATTATGATCATGTAGACTTACGTAAATCAACACAAACTTGCAAAAGAATCACAAAAAAACAATTTAAGGGCATCACAAACAAGATTTTGCTCAAATATTACAATTCGGATACAAAATTAAGAAAAAATGACTAAAAGATTAGCAAGGGGTACCAACCTTAGCCCTCATGTTGGCCTAGGGTTTTTCACAAACTTTCTCTCTATCGTAGTCCGCCGAATTTGTCCAGATGGAACCGCCGAATGCGATCGTGAAGAAGGATGTCGATCCTTTCGATATTTATAGGAGGTCTAGAAAAACCCTAATCCGTCTTTCAGAGTCGTCATCGAGTGAAGCGGGGTATTCTTGTCATTCCGTTAATGCCGACTCTTTGTTTTTCAATTTCATTTTCCTATTTTATATTTTTAGTTTTTAACGTAGCAATTGTCTTTAATTCCCTTCTAATGAATTCCTGTCCATTAATATATATTAATTACATAATTAAATATCGCATGACAACAAAATGGCAAAATTGTAATTTGACTACGTTTATATTGAGATAATTTCACAAGGGTCTATAATTAATTTATATTACCCAGTTAATTTCTACTCTGATCTCCATTTTCCAGGCAAGAAAAATTCCTCATCTTCTGATTCAATTTTAACAACAAATTATGTCGAACGAAACCCTAGATGACCGTCCTCAAGATTCCGTCTCCGACGAGGAACCGAGCGTTGTTGTTAATGGTGAGGATAGCAATAGTAATAGTAATGCAACTAGTTCGAATTCTTCAGTGGCAAAGGGGTTGTCCTCTTTAATTTCTTCTATAATCACGGATTTCGATTCCAGAGCTGAAGCAACCTCTCGCAGTCAAGAACAGCTCGCCTTCTCCCTCGATCGACTCACCGGAGGTTACTCTTATTAACTTTTCTAATTCTAATTTCTGTGTGCTAATTTTCATTGTGCTCCATTGCTATATGTGGCGTGTAAAAATCAAATCTTTGTTTCGATGCGTCTGTTTGAAATTATCGAGTTGTAGGTAGGTTGCATTTTAATTTTCTAAATGATTTGCATGGAATTCATTGCTGAAGTTAGAGAATTTGAAATTAGCTCTTAATTTTCTTTGTTGTAATTATTGAATTGGGTGCTTTGGCTTCCTAGATGAATATCTAGAATCTCCGTGCTTGGAAACTTTATAACTAATGCTTCCAAGTTCGAAGAATTCAAAGTTTTTCTTTATCTGTCAGAATAATTCAGTTACAAGGGAAAGAGGCTAAAGCTTATCCGCTGTTGCAACAAACTACGAAGTTCACATGAGCTTTGTAGTTCCACCTCTCACCATACGTGTGCATATGTAATTGTATTATAGGTTATGGGAAGGATGTAAATATTTGTAACCAAGTAGTTCTTCTCTAAAGGATATCCTGGAGTGTTTATGTTTTTTGGTTTCTATATAATGCTCAGCGATCCCTTTTACACCATTTTATCTATCTTTTTAAAGTCTTTGTAACTTTGTACTTTTTACAGAGCTTGATAAATTGCTAGAAGATGCTCCTTCGCCATTTATTATGCAGCACGCTGCAAGGATATCTGGTGTTAGGAGAAGGGTCACAGCTTTAAACTCAGTTTTGAAGTCTGTACAACGACGAATTGACAATATGGATCGAATGCTGTCAGCTGGATCTTTGCATGGTATGATCCTCTCTTCTTCTTTTCATTTTTAATTTTAAGGGGGTAGTTGAATATGGAAGTCATCACAAAGTATATTCTTCTTCTTCATTAGTGTGTCACTGTGTCATTGTGAATCTCGTGTTATTTGATGTACATGGAACTCCCAAAATTAAAAGATTACCTGTGGATTTTGATTTTAAAGGTTTTATCAATATGTATAAAAGCCTGTAAATGTGTAGAGTAAATTGTTACAAAATCATCTAGAAACTTGGGGTAATTTATTTATTTTGTTTTGGCGAAGCTGGGCTGAGTGCTGGACAAAGGATGAAACAATTGTAACCAGTTTTCTAAGATGAAGATTGCAAGTATATATGCTAATATGTATTTTACTAGAGTTGGAGTTAATGAAACTTGAAGATGATGATATTTTGGTCATGAAAGATTCGGTGGGAATTGTTGATGGTATCAACGTCATCACATGGTCATGATGACATGAAGGTGGAGGATACTGGTCAGATTGAGAGCAAAAATTGTGGCTGAGGCTCACAGTTCAATTTATGCTGATAAATTTAGTTCAAGAAACCTAGTTTGTTGATGTTTGCATAATCTACAGAAATTGATAAATTTAGTTCATAATTTCTGCTTCCATTGTAAATTTAATGCATTATCAAGTTTTGGATTGTCTTGAGACAGAGGATTTCTCCTACATTTTCCTCTCTTTTTAGACAAATGATGTACTCTTGCTACAAAGTTGTAATCTGTTTCTGTTTGTCTTAAAAAATGTTATGCTGTCGCCTATAGAAGAATGGAGCTGATTAAGTTTCCTGCTTGTGTGGTCAACATGCTTTACTATATCAATAATCCATGACTCATTGGTGCTTCATGCCCTTTGAGTTCAAATATCCTAGAAACTAGTATCTACTTTTGTTGACAATACCTTGTAGAATATTAATATTGTAATTATAACATTGCTGCCTATTTGCAATTTTGAACTGGCCATTTACCATTTTTGCTCCTCACGTGTGTAGTTTTGTTTGCTTTGTGTTTTAGAAACTTATTCAAGAGATTTTTTGTGAAGTCCATATTAATTTAGTTTATATGTCTTGCGCTTGCAGAAAAATCGGTAAGAGAGAAAGCTGGAGAACATTAATATTTCTCAATACTGGAGGTACTTCTCATCATAGTCCAATTTTTGTATGATGCAGCAAACAGTTTTCATAATTTACTAATCAGAAGGAAACTCTTTGTAAGCAAATTCGGATTGAGGACAAGCAATTCTCAATAAACTATAATACTTCCGAGAACGGAGATTAATTTCTTGCTCATTTTTCAGTTTTTCTTTAGTAAATTCATCATTTGAGAGGAACGTGTCTGCCGTTTTTTATTTATTTTCAGCTGTGCAATTTATTATGTCATGAAAACGACCAAGATATCTCAGCCTCTTGCATATGGCATGTTAGCAAAACTTACAACAGTATGCAAATAAGAGGCTTAACAGTAGGAAAAAAATATATATATAATTAAACAACATGGTACTGTCTTAATCATAAATTGATCATATTAACATGAAAGCATGAATCTAAAGGTTGGAAATTGACATCGTCTTGTAGAATAATTTCTTTTTTCTTGCCACAAAGTTAGCATGCTTCGGCTCATCTCTCGGATAAAATAAACTAGAAAGAAATATTATCGCCTCTCTCTCTCTTTGTTCCTCCCTTCCTCATAAATGATTGATGGTTTGGACTGTATATAAATGCTTGGACTGTGTTACCAAATGTGTAATTCTAATTTCTGAACTGTTACTTCTCCGTATAAGAATTCAAAATGTGCCATAGTATGCCCATCAAATATTTGAATGATGCAATGGGTAATTGTACTAGAAATTTTTGGATTTAGGGTAGCGTTTATCCACCAGCTCTGGTTTTATGTTCTTTGGACTTTGATCGTTCATGATAAATGACTATTTGACAATAAAATTTACTCTCAGGTGTTTGTGGAGCAAATCTTGATGGAGAATATTACTAAATACTCAGGGAGAGAGCTTGAACGATTTTTGTTTCTGGGTCAAATGCTTCCTGGTCGAGCCGTTTTCTCTGCTAACAAGGAGCTGGTCCTAGAATTCAGTTCTAAAATATGCTAGAACAGTAACTTGGACAACCATGCACAATTTGTACTATGACATTTGATACATTTAAGGATATTCTGATGGCAATTGTATATATTTTTTGTTCATTTGCTGGTCCACCCTTTTCTTTCAACTTTTTGTCTAGCAGGATCCTGTCTTTTTACTTGAGATTAACAGAGCAATGCATCTTCATCTCCCCAGATGTTGAAGTATTCCTTTTTTTGGTACTGTTTGAATTTTATAAATTAGCTTATTCTTAGTCTAGCATCATGGAATTTTCTGTTCCACTCTCTCCTATTTGTATTTTCTGTTTATTAAGAATAGAAGTAAGTTAAAATTTTGTCCATTATACTTGGAATCAATTCTTGGCTACTTGGAAACATATTCCTTTTTTTTTTTTTTTACAAGTAACCGTTTGCCAAAAAAAAAAATTTACGATGGGAGAAACAATTCCTGAGAATAAACCCAAAACATAGTTGCCTGCACTATCGTGTTTAAAAGTTACTTTTTTCAAAGAGTAAGTATTTACTATTTACTCAGTGCAATGCTTGTACAACTTTTAAGCTCAATCATGATGAACCTTATCGACTAGCCTAAATTAAACCCTTGTGCGTATCTTTTTATGCTATAGCCTCAGAAGTAGGAATAATGGCACCTAAGATAATATTGTTTCCATAAAGTCCTGTGTATTTTTTTGTAGATTCCATCACCTGTTGCCATTTCATGGCCAAGAAAAAGAAAAAATGCTTAGCACCTGTTTGGTTTAGTTAAAAATTAGTTTTTTAGTAAATTTTGATAAATAATAAAAAAAAAAAGATAAAATGTGTGATTGAAAAATTGATAAAAGTTGTGAGTCTTATGAAATATATGGTTAAAATTAAAAAAAAAATGAATTTTAAAAAATGTGGACTAAATATAAACTTAGCCATATAAAGAGTTCATCTATTTTCAAGCATACGTGTCCATAGGTTGTTTAACAACTCCTAGTCCAAAACCTAACAATAACAAAACTCAAATATACACTTGTGTGGTTAAGCTTCAATCTTCATTAATAAACAGCAATCTTTAGAATTTCCAAACAACCAAAGGACACTGGTAAACCAATCCCGACACATAATTTTTTTAATGAGTTGACTTAAGACGATACCAGTTTTAATATGATTTCGAGTCTCGTCGCTATTCATTTATAAAATTGTGCATGGTATCGAGATTTTGATGGATAAATGAAGCACGTATGTAAGTGAGTGGATATATTGAAAATAAAATTTAAACAAATAAATTTGTTCCAAATGCAAGAATATGAAAAAAAAAAAAAAAAAGAAGGTACAACCAAATGCTCGAAATTGCCTCACGAAGTAGCTTAGGTGTTGTCTTATGGTTCACTCAGAAAATTCGAGAACGTGAAGTCTACTTCTCTATTGAGATTTTTTGAGCAATAAATATGATTTATACTTTCACGATGTTTCGTACTTTCGATGAAACAAAAAATGAATCCAACTTATATGTGAATTTGTCTCTCTCCAACAATTTAATTACTTTAAGATGTATAATATAGTATTTCAACGTACACTTGTAGAGAGAAGCTACGTTGCCATCCAAATCTTCCTATAAATACCTAAAATCCTCTTTGCTTTTCATCATCAAACTCAAAACTTATCTTCTCCAATTACTTCTTCAAAAAACCCTAGTTTTCAATCTTCAAATAATCATGGCCAGAATCATTTACACTTGCATTTTGATTCTCTTTGCCATTTCCATTAGCACAGAAAAATGCAATGCTGCTCGTCATCTCCTGCAGTCAAATATTCCAGGTTTGCCTACAATTCCATCACTGCCAAACCCTACAATTCCAAACCTTCCTAACCCTTCAGTACTTCCCCCTATGCCTTCCATTCCAACAATTCCAGGCATGCCTAAAGTACCTTTCCCTACAATTCCCTCTTTTCCAAAGATCCCTTCTACTGGAAACATTCCATTCTTGTCTCCACCACCTTCCAAGTAGAGAGAAAGAGTACTGTGCATGAGCTTAATTAATACTTTGTAATTTACATGAAGGTTTTATTCGGAGTCGTAATATAGATTGAAGTTGGTTTGGTTTGGTTTAGGGAAGTCGACTATGAAAGTCATTGAACGAGTAGTCGGTCCGACTTTTCTTCGTGGTTTTTTATAATGCGTCGTGAGTATGTTACAATGTGTTGTAGTATGTTATTTGATATTGTAATGTTTTTCAATATTATATGATAATATATACCTCTTATAACAACTTCACATCCGATGCATCCCGAAGGCATGCACCAACCCAACTTCGATAAAGAGAAAAAGTTTAGATTTAAAAGGTGTCTTTGAAATATATGTTAAATTAAATATAATTTACAATAAAGTGAGATGTGTGTTCGCAATTTTCGTATCTAATGTGTGGTTGAAATAAAGAAAGAAAAAAAAATAGATGTCAAACAAGGGTTATATAAAAGTAGGGGTGGACATGGGGTTGGGTTGGATTGTATTAGGTTAGGTCGATTTTTGTCTCAACTCAAACCCAACCCAATATGATTGGTTTCATCAAAATTTAACCCAACTCAACCCAACCCAATCAAGCATCGGTCAGGTTGTGTTGGTTTGGGTTGGTCGGTTTGAAGACGACTTGTCAACAAAAATTAAAGTCGTCCAATTTTCTATTATACTAAATTCGAATAGACGAACTTAAATAGTAAATAAATAAATAAAATTATATATTATCTTATTCAATCATCATTAACCGAGCTTACAAAGAATAAAGAGCATTTAACATAACATGAAAAACGAATACAACATTTCTTGTGGGAAGAATAGCAAGCTCCTCCTCTAAAATACACCAAGGTAAAAGCTCATTCTCTAAAATACACTAAGATAATTTCAGTTACAATATCTACTCATTCTTTTTATGTTTCTTTTACTTTTCTAGGCATTTTATTTCTTTTATTATTATTATTTTTTTGAAGTAGCGGGTTGGGTTGGGTTGGGTTGGGTTGGGTTGGGTTGGGTTGGACGGGTTTATTCGATTTTCTTGAGTTAACCCATAACCTGACCCAACTCAACTTAACCAGTGTAAAAATAAAGCCAATCTCTAAAAAAAATTTCTTTGAAAATTAGTTTTTTTTTTAATGATATTTACAAAATTTATCATCTTTATTTATTTAAACTACAACTTGAAAAAATAGATAATAGATTTTAACAAATTATGAATATGTTGGAAAGAATAGCAAGAACTTCATTAAAAAAATTTCCTACATTATTAAATGGACAAATGAAAATTCTTAGTTGTCATCACAATAGCTCAATGAATGCACTTTTTTCAGGGAAATCAAATAAAATAATATATCATATTATTAATTATTTCGCATCTTAAAATGAATTTCTTATTTATCTTAAGTTCACGTTTAAACTTTATACCATTTTAAAATTAACAAATTTTCAAGAATCCGTACATATCCCCTATTTGGTGGAGATTAAAATCAAAATTTTAGTAAATTTTGATAAAAGCTAATGAAATGTGTGGTTGAAAAATTATGAATCCTATAATCTATGATTAAAATTAATTGTTAACTTTAATTTTTTTTAATGTTATTTTATTAGGGTTAATAACTCAAATGGTTACTGAACTTTGCAAAAAGTTTTCACAAGGTCACTGGACTTTAAAAATTACTCAAGTTATCACTGAACTTTACAAAAAGTTTCCACAGATCACTGAACTTTAAAAATCGTCTCATTCATGACTAAACTTTACAAAAAGTTTTCCAGGAGATCACTGGGAAACCTTTCCCAAAGTTTAGTGACCCAGTGAATTTTTTTTTTTTTACAAAGTTTAGTGATGAATTGAGTGATTTTTAAAATTCAGTGACCTCATGTAAACATCTTGCAAAGTTCAGTGATGAATTGGTGATTTTTAAAGTTCAGTGACCATGTGAAAACTTTTTGCAAAATTCAGTGACCATTTAGGTTATTAACCCTTTTTTATTACGAGAAACTTTAAGAATAGAAGATAAATA